AGGTCTTTTACTCCGACGAAGGACTAGTACCGAAACGTCAGTAAGTTTATTCATCTAGAATAAGGACTCGATTTAAACTAGCTTGACTAGTACTCACTTTTCTGTTTTGGCCTACTTCAGCTTCTGCCGATTACACTCGTCTTGGCTGCTACAAGGACACTTTCTTCGGGGCAATGTCCAAAAAACTTGGGAACGTCGGATCAATTGAGCAGTGCGCTGAACTTGCTAAGAAGAGAGCTTTTTCGACCTTTGGTGTTCAAAATGGCAGGGAATGCTACTCTGACGAATCAGCAGCTTCAAAGTATAAAACGTTTGGAGTTTCGGGGGATTGTCGAAATGGTATGGGAGGAGTTTGGGCCAATGATGTTTATCAGTTTTCTGGTAGGTGTTTTTTCCATGATTTTTCCATCATTTCATTCTAGTATCCTATATTCTATATCTTTTTGTTTTTTTGTTTGTTTGTTTGTTTTTTTTTTGTTGTTGTTGTTGTTTTTGTTTTGTTTTTTGTTTTTGCTTTTCGTTTCTTCAGTCCCCTTCTGTCCTATCCTACTTCTCTGATCTACTCTGCTCTTCTTTTTCTTTCTTTCTTTCTTTTCTTTTCCTTTCCTTTTCGCTTTTGTCTCATGCAGTTACACTCACACTCTGTATACATCATTTCTTGTAGTTACATTTAAGGACCTCGGCTGCTTTAAAGACAACGTCTTGTCAAGAGCATTGCCAACTTTTCTTGGTATTTTGGACAAAAGTACGTCCGTGAGAACATGTGGTGATCTCGCTAAACAAAAGGGTTTCTCAACCTTCGCAGTCCAATTTGGCGGCCGGTGCTACTCGGGGGAAAACGCTGCTACAGAATACAATAAATATGGCTCTGCCACCAACTGTGCCGGGGATGGCACTGGAGGTAGCTCGGCAAATAACGTCTATCAGCTACCTGGTACGTTTGGACTGCTTTCCTTTATCTTAATTAAATTTAAATGTATTGATTCTATTTGAGTTTATTACCTTATTGATAAGGTTTAGTATTATTGATTACATTTCCGTTGCTGAAGTCTAGAAATGCATCAAGTGATAATCGGTTTTGGTACGTTTTGATTGCTTTCTTTTGTTATGATTAAGTTTAGGTTATTGAGTTTGAGTTGAGTTAAGTCTAGATATGGCATATAATGATAATCGTGATGAATCGAATAGTTATATACAAAGCGTATAAACAAGACAAAAACAAAAAGAAGGGGAAAACCACTATTACGCACAGCCAACATACACTGCAAACCTCTAGGATGTTATGAACAAAAACAGAATTTCGATGTAGTATAATACCTGAAAAGTTAACACGTTGTAGAGTTTGAAAACAGCAACATTTAGAAGCAAGACAAAACATCTAGATACGAAGAAGTGCCTTTGCATCGAGGCGAGACGAACGTTGAGCTTTGCAATGATAGAGACCTTTTTTAACACCTCGAACAGTTATTCACATGCAGTCTCTATCATTGACAAGCTCACCGTTCGTCCCGCTTCGATGCAAAGGCACGGCTATCTTTCAATATGACGCATGGAACTGTGACTAAGGCGACTATTCAGTTGATGGCAAGAATATATTTCTAAACAAAGTTTTCGAGAATTTAAACCCAATTTATTGAGCATCACACCCCTGACGAGCAATTATTTCTTTGCATTACCACAGGCATTAGCTGTTCCTCGTGCAATGGTCAAAGTAGTTGCAGTAAAGTCTCGTGTTCTGAGCCTTTCTGCTACAAAATGACCGCTGACCGTGTCATTGGTGGTCAGGAAAGTCAAGTTACTGTATCTGGGTGCATGTCGAACTGCACGACTGATGGCAAGACGAAAGGATGTGCTGGAGAGGTAATTACTTGAATAATATCTAAATCTATAATGCTATACAAGTGAGGATCGATGGAACTGAAAGACCAACGTACTGATCGACTGACCGACTTAGTAAATACAACCATTGACTGATACACGGACGGATGAACGAGAGACTCATCATCATTTTTATCTCTCCTTTTCATAAAGAAAAACTGTTTGCTGACCTGTTGTAGTTATGACAACTGCAATGATGCCAACGTTAAGGACAGTAAGTTCACATATTCGCTTGTTCTTTTATCAGTGATAGCTATTCAAAGGTTGAGAGAAAAAATTGGGTTAAGTTTGCATTGCAGTGCATTGTGGAGCTATTTTAGGAGTCTTAGTTCCAAGATGGCTTCCATGTCGTCCCTAAACAGTCCCACAATGCACTGTAATGCCAGCAACTCGACCCAGTTTTTCCCTCGCCTCGGAATGGCTAACTATTTGACATTGGAAATAACTCTCGGAATAAATCAGTTACTAACTTTTTTTTCTCATGGCAGACTTTCCCAAATGCTACTTCTGCTCTTCTAATGTCTCCATGGATGATTGCAAGACCAAGAGTAGCTTGAAGACATGCAAGCAAGAAGAAGGAGCCCAGTCCTATTGCTATACATCTTTCAACACCATCACTAATCCTGTAACTAACGTTACGTCATTAGAATACAAAAAGGATTGTTCGTCAAGTTCTCTAGGATGCCTCGTCCAAGGAGGAAGTTTTTGCAAGGGAAAATCGGCTGATGAATGTAGTTATTATAAGTGCTGTACTGGAAGAGGGTGTAACCACTCCAGCAAAACGCATGTCAGCGGTATTTTGATTTTGGCATGCGCAATTTTTATGCTTTTGCTCTAAGTAATAATTTGAACGACAAAATGTTGTTGGATAAGCACGCGTAGATGGAAAAGTTTGTATTTAGGTCAATTGCAATAGTCTGGGCGACATATTATTTGGTATGTTAGACAATCAGATCACTTGGAGGGGGCGGGAAATGGTGCCAAATGAGGTCTGTTGTGTCTTGATGTAGTTTGACTACCTCTCCCCCTCCCACCTCCCCCACCTCCCCCCACCACCATTTCCACTTTACGTGCAAAGCACACCAACACTCAACCATTCAATACAATCATAGTCTCCCTCGCATCCGTTTTTAGTGTCGGTCGTCACGCAACGGAGGGAGCGTTGTGTGACGACCGACACTAAAAACGGTTGCGAGGGAGACTAATACAATCACTGCCTATTCAAATTTGTTTATGCGTTTAAAGTTTCAAAAATAGAAATTCATGTCGTAGCCTTGTGAAAATCAAAGCTGTTTTCAAAGTGGTCATCAATGATCTTAAATAAAACTTAAGATTTCATACAAATAGAGCTTTTAAGCTTTGACGTATTTCCGGGTGAATTACTTTTCGATGCCTTTAGGCCTTGCGTCCACACTAGAACAATCGAAAACACATGCATTTGAAAACGCTCTCCATGAGACTATTCATGAGAGAATCGTATTAGTCAGCCGGGCCAGCGAAAACGGAAGCTTTGGAAAACGCTGGCGTACGTCATTCACACTGGCACGTCTGTTTCTCGCATGCGCAGATGATGATAATGTATCGTTTGCCGGATGGTATCTGCGTTTTTGATGCGTGTTAGTGTGGACGCTATGATCATGGTTTAACACGTTTTAGGTGAGACGAAAACGGAGCGTTTCGAAAACTGTACAGTTGCCTTCTAAAAAGTGACTTTTGAAACGTATCAAATTAACTCCAAATGGGGACAGGGACATAGGACAGCAGCGCTAACTGAAAAGCACACATGCCGATAAAAAACTTTTTTTTAAAGTATTCCTCGACAAAATATTCAAAATTTCTGGTGACGTGTGAAATTATTTTGCAAGGACTTAATTGGACGTCAACATAAGCCAGACAAATTTTGATTGGCTCAGCATCATTCTTTTCCCAAGAGTAAATTAAAAAGGCAACGAGAGCAAGACTGTTTCTCAATCCGATTAGTCAATGCCCTTAAATAAGATTAATCCTTATTCTGAACTGCTGTAGGTCAATTTAGAAACTTCCTAAGAAATAAATTTCTAATTAAAGAACTTGGTTTGTATAAACATCAAACCGCATGGTTTACAAAAAACCTTCCAATCATTATTCAATATTCCAGCTTTTCATTTCCAACGCAACAACTACAAACACAACAGTCTGTGTTTTATTGACTTAACCTGTTAACTTAAGCTTAACGTCAAGGCCTTTTCATTACATATTTTTCAAACTTTAGCTCCACTTCCATGGTAACGATAGATGCAAATCAAAAGAGCTGTCCGATTATGGTAGGGTCTTCATTTTAAGGCAAAAAATGTGGTCAAAAAGCTTAAAGCATTCTTCATCAACGTCGTTTAAAGGCTAAAACGAAGCAAATGTGTCTAGATGATGAGAAAGAAACTGAATTATTTGAATAAAGGTAAGGTCCTGTTTGTCATGACACTCATTCAGTGAGCAAAGTGAATTGCAAATTTGCTGTTCATGTTGAACTCAAAATATTTATTCTGTAACATATAGCGCTGGCAGACGAATTTTACTCAGTTATACAACCAACTAATTTCATATCAAAAGATAGATGAAATATAAAATAACATTTCAAAGGTAAAAGAACTGAAATACTTTGTACTATCGAGTGCAAAAAGTGAACAATAGAAGGAGTTTCGAATAAAGTGAAGGGTAGATTATTTTGACAATGAAATTAAAAACTTTTGACAAGAAGGTCCAGTCCGCTATGCAAATGATACTGGTTTGTGTGCTTCGCGTTTTTGTCTTTCACTATTGGAAGCTGAACATGTAGATTTAGTAAACACGTATCAGGAAGGGTTCCTGCCACACGTATTACATATAATTTTTGTAGCAGGGCAATATTTAGCCACGACTTGGTAACTGACTATAGTTAGGTTTAATTTTGGTAACTCCGGAACGTGGAAGTGGTGTGATCCAAAAGAGTGGTTCATGATTAGAAAAGAAAACCAACTGCAAAAAACGAATGCTCTTAAAAGTTGTGTTTTTTAAAATATACAAAAATATTTCAAAAAGGTTTTTATATTAACAACTAAGAAGACACAGGGTGCATATTAATCAGAACTTTTGAGAACGACATGCATTATGGACATGAAGTTACTCTTTCAAACCACCCACACAACAGCCTGAAATCTAAACTCGAAGCCTTACCAATGAAACAATAATATTTGATATATAATTGTGATTTCGTTTAATAATACTTAATAATTCGGTATTTATCATCAAGGAAGGTTGAACAATGATTACGACCGCTGATATCACCATCGGATAAGGGGATCACCAAGGTAAACTTTTTTTTTGGTCTGTGATGAGAAGATTATTCTAGGAGTGCAACCACATGACACAAAATCCCTTGAGATACAACCAATAACAATGAAAAAGCCGCCATGTTGGTTAAACTAACACAGGAGAGGCTAATACGGAATGTTTTGTTACCGTCAACCAAAATGGCGGCTATGACGTAACATCCGGCATATCCAGAATAACTCCCTCCCTATTTTTATGCTATTTTTCTCCTTTCTCCCTAAATTTTTGACCCATTTCTCTTTCAGCCCCTCAGCAAATCGACAAACGAAAAACCTAATAAAATTTCAATCAAATTGATATGATAATGGTAATCTTTTCTCTCTTCCTCTTTGTATGCTGGCTCTTCCTTCTCTTTAGATTATAGATTTTTCCGTTGTTTCTCCTCCCTTTGCGCCTTTTTTTAGCCGTTTCTTCCTTCCTGATATTAGTTTCTCACTGCTTAGTCTATTCTCTCCCCACTACTGACATAAAAGTCAACCTCATTTAACTTGACCTCCAAACCAGAGACAGTGATGCTAATCACTATGGCTCAGATTATTCTTTTTCATTACTGCGCAGACTTTAGGTAGTCATTATTGTCATGTATGCGTAAGCGTCTCATAATCAGCTTAATCTTCAAGGCCTCTTCAGCTCTGCCATTCGAATCCATTCTTCGACGCAAGCTTTGCGGCCTGCATCTATTGTAACGACTTCTAAAACTGACGATTCATTTCAAAAGTAATTTTAAACTGAATGTACGTTTATAAGTCATTGTTGGACAAGAGTTTGATTTTATAAGAAATATCTAATGGTTGATGAGTCTATTCGGTATGTACATTTGTGATTACTGTTAGTTGTCCACCATGGCTAAGGATTCAGTACTGCAAGCACAAAAAATCTTAATTATCTTATGTTGTTTTGCCTTTTGAATACACTCTTTTTAAAATCAAATGGTAAAAAAGAATTGTTTGTGATAATTGAACAAATATTTCCTCTCAAATCCATTAGGGGGATTACATTACTCTTAAGTGAACATGTTTCATGCGAGAAGAAAGGTATAATTTTCAGTTGTTACTTTGAAATGGCTTGCGTTCTGTCCAATCAAAACACGGTGAAACTACTAACATCCAATCACAGTTTTTGAATATCAAAGTCATTTGAGTGCCAAACCATAGGATGGTCTCATGCGAATATTTCGCAATGCTCAAATCGACTTCCTTTTGAAGCTAATTATCATAACCCTGAACATTATTATCCATTTAAAATCAAGCCCCGAAGCGCTAAAACTTGCCATAATATTTAGTAATTTCGAAGTATTGTGTTTGTCGATAAATACTCCATAATGAGCAGACAATTCCCTAATTGTTTTAATTAAGATCCTTGTAGTCTTAGCAACGATGGCCAGTGATTAGCGAATCTCGACAGAAATGACTAGAAAATGCATTAAGACAGCCAATCAAATTTTGCAAAATTTTCATTGCCATAGCATTATTTGTTTTGAAAACATTATATAGTCAGGAAGGGCTAAAGAAAAAAGAACATTATCCCTTTAATAAATTTAGTTCTTGGCTCGTCGCAATAAATGAGCAAGTCTTCTCTAGCGGTGAATGAGAGTCAAATTTCTATATTTAATCAAATTTTAAATTTAACTTAAAATCGAAACTTGTTTGCCTATTTGACTGATTATTTAGTTGGATTTGACTAAAACAAATAGTCCTCTCGTTCTCGTGGCCTATGAGTCGGTCGACCTTCGGGCTCGAGGACTAATTCAGCTTCACAACTTCACATATTTTTTTAAATTTTGACCTGCAGGAGAAGCAAGCGGTAGCAGTGTTTTAGAAAATATATCAACTACTGGTTCCACTCTTACTGAAGTATATCATGTAGCGCAAGCACTAGCCCTTTTCGACTGAGAATCCCTGCCAAATTTAACATGACCGGCTTGTATTTCTATCGTTATGGAGGGTTTCCACCGGCAAGCAAATATCTTGATAAAATATGGCACGACCAAAACCACAAGAAACACAAGAAAAGGGTAAGATTATTTATTGCATGTATTTTTAAAAAAAGATGCCAAGACTTGTAGCCTTCGTGGTCATTCATAATAGGCCTTTTGCAACAATTGGTCACGTGACCCTGTCCCCTTTAAAAAAATTCAGTGTGTCAAAATGAACATCCGAAATGGAAAGAACACTTCAATATTAGTGAGAGGGCAAAGTCATGACATGTAACACAGGAGAAATGGCATTAAATGCAATATCGAATATTTTATAAGGATTTGTATGTGAAAATGTGCTGGACGGCAAAGGTTATCCGAATCCCCTTCTTTCCTTGTATACCTCTTTCAGTCCTACTCCACTCCTGTTTTCAGGGGCGTGAAAACGGGAGTGAAAATAGAGTAGGAGTGCAGGGGGTGCGCAGGGGGTGCGCAGGGAGAGCTAATGTCTACTGTGTTATTTACCCTTGAACTGTGTGAACGAAAATATATATAGTGACTTGCAATTACATAATTGTAACTAATTATAATCAATTAGCGCAAGATCGCAGTGCGCAAAGCTAAATCACGTCTCTTACCCTTCGAGTTGAACTGCAGCTGCTAGATACTCATGATATTGAATTTCAAACATAATTTATTCCTGGTTAAGTAGTTTTCTTCTGATCGATAGTAACAATGTCGAGGTAGGGCTGGGGAATGGAGGTGTGAGCACTTATATTACAACTCCAACGCTTTGAAAAGTCTTTAAAAAATACAATTGAATGCCTTGTAAATGAGATAAAAACAGTTCTGATATTCGTGCTAAGGCTATGATTTTACTTGTCACGATCAACTTAGCCTGCGTTTATAATGTATGGCAGGGGGGGGGGGGGCGGTGAAAATGAGGGGGGATCAGGAAAATTTTGGTAGGAAAAAGGGGGGATGGGCAAATTTTTATCAGAATTTGCCCATCCTCCCCTTTTTGCTAAAAAAACTTTCCCGATCCCCCCTCAATTTCACCTGTCCCCCCCCCCCACCCCCTCTGCCGTACATTATGAACACAGCCTTATTTAATATACTTATTTATAAAATAAATTAAATAGTACGCACGCTGTGATTGGTTGATAGCCATGTTTGCATGAGGGTATGTAAACACAGTTGTGACGTCACAACTTTCTTGTTTTCCCGGTACAAGTTCAAAAGTTAAAAATTTACAGTTTCTTTCGAGGAAACAAAACGCCCCCAAAAAAGTATTTTGAAGACGAAGTTCCAAATTTTGACTTGGGTCAGGGCCACAGGCATAACCCTATGGTCTCATGCAGGTCTTTCTGATCGTAATATCA